CTCTATAACCTTGCTAATACTTTATCCGTTGGTTCATAAGCAATGTGTGGTATTGGCATTCCTACCTCCACACTCCCATGTGTCCTAGGGGCCAATCGCTGTAGGGCGGAAACCCTGTGAAGGTCGCGAGCTCTGGTGTCCTCCTTCTATCGGGCCCTCTCCTCTAGCACTGTTCGCAGGTCCACTGACCTAGGCAACTCCACGTGCCTAGATGTTGTTTGGTGCGTGTACGAGGGCCGATAACTGCTTCTCTCCATATATGACCTTTTAGTCCTCGTTCTCTCAGATCTGGAGTAACGAGTCCTGGAAGTCCTTGATTAAGTGTCGCCTGTTCTAAGGCTCCTACTTTCGACTTGGGATGGCGTGGCTTGTCTACCACGATCTCCCGAATGGTTAGAGGGAGTGTTGCCTTTGTGCCCCTCTTTTGTTGCCACCCTTTGCCTTTTATCTGGCGCTTCATCGTTTCTATGTCCGCTGCCATCCTTCGTATTAACTCATCTTGCTCCCTTACGCGATCCTTCAGAACTTGAGGATCCAACCTCCGCCTCTGCCTTTCAGGACTTTGAGAGCGACGGGAACTGACGCTCCGCCTCTCCCGTGTGTCCCTCTGGGAATTCCATCGCTGGGGCTCTAATTCTGCCATGGATGGGATAGAAGGCAAACCTTCGCGCCTCTCGCCCCCCTCTAGGGTTTGCCCAACAATAGCAGATTGCGACAAATCTTCGTTGTGCGCCATTAATTTCAACTAATAGAAAAAACTTGATCAAAAGGTTTTGTTCTCTGCGGTGTTCCCACAGAATGTGCCAATTGTACGAGCACAAAATAATCTTCTCGTATAATCCTGTTGATCAAGTTTGCACTCCTCTAAACGTTGTCGCTTTGCTTCCTGGAAATACAAACGTCAGCTAGCCAGCGAGTGTGTGCCGGATACCTCTCCGATGCCTAAGTCAGCAAAATAGGTAATAGACAAAAAGTTGTGTGTTTTAGAGAATAAAGATTGTGATACCTGTACATAGGTCCTGCTATAAGGTTTTATAGATTCCGCTTGGCACAATCCTAGTAGGATTCCAACTCTCCATATAAGAGTTCTTCTAGGAATCACACACCCTACTCACTACTGACCAAATGAGATGGTATGCACAATCCTAGTAGGACTCTACTCTCCTTAGCAGAGCCCTCCTAGGAGTCTCAAGCTCAATGAAGAATGTCTATTATAATAACACTCTGCTTTCCACTAACTAAGTAAGATAGTTACCTCCTTTGTTTAGGCTGTTGTGACCTAACCGAGCTATATTACCTCAGTTATACACTTAAGTAATGACATAGATAGCGTTCGGCCGAGCTATTTCTAGCCCGGCCTCCTTTCTCACCAATACCTTGGCTAACAACCAAGCCCCTTATTTAGGTAGCTCGGTCCAAAGTAACTCGGCCCAACATTTATACAATATGGGGCTGAGCTACTCGAAGCCCATACCTCGGCCTTTAGTCCGGCCCATAAAAGAGACTAAAGGATCGTAGCTCAGCCAATATTTATTTATAAATTACCCTCTCAGTAAGCCTATCACTTTAAAACAAAGAACCCACAAAGATGATTACTATTAATTATGAAAATGTTACTGTCATATCACTCTGATGACAAATTTTGTATATATTTGTTTAAAAGAACTACTTTTTCCTTCTCAATTTTGCTTCCAATCCAAAAATCAGTTACATGGCATTAAAACTGTTTAAGATATATTCTTACAATCTTAACCACTAACACTACAAAAAATTTGACTTTTTGCGATGGCAAAATGCCGTCGCAAATATTCAATGTCGTCTCAAAAGCTTTTTTGCAACGGCAGATGACTTTTAGCAACGACAAGTGGGGGGTTGCAACAAAGGGCGTTGCTAAAAGGTTTTACGACGGCACAATGTCGTCGCCTTTTTTTTGCGACAGCAAAGTTGCCTTTTTGCGACGGAATTCTGCCGTTGCCATTTATATGAAAAAATCTGAGATTTTTTTAGACGGCACTGTGTTGTCGTCGCTAAAAGTGTCATTTGCGACGGCAAAAATACCGTCGCGAAAGTATTTTTATTGCGACGAGATACCTGCTGTCGCTAAAAAATATTTGAGACAGCACGACATATCGTCGCTAAAAGATTATTTGCGGCGACAAAGAATACCGTCGCGAAAGGTTTTGTCTCAACTCTGCCAATATCATTTGCGAGGGCAATGTGGTGCCGTCTCAAAAAAAAAAAAAAAAAAAACTACAATAAAATTATTAAAAATATGAAAATTACCTATATTAAATGAAAAATAACTGAAAAAGAAACCAATAATTACATAATAATATAAAAATTTCAGTATAAAAATAACAATTCATCCCTAATAAAAATATTCTTGCATTCATTACAACACATGAGTAAAATTATCCCACTACATAATATTGCATAATACATATACAATGTTTAAATACCTATGTTGTTCACAATTCAAAATAACGTAAATCAAAAACAAAAGTTTCCCTCATGATTCTTCCGTGGGTAACAAAAACAAAAGTTAATCGCAATCTTCACACGCCTGCATTCCACAAAAAGCAAACTGCTACTCGGGAAATATCTGAAAATAAAAAATAAAAATAATTAATGACAATATAATTATATGTTAATATTTTAATTACAAAAAAAAATAAAAAATTAACTACTATATAATTACAAAGATAATTAAGTAAATAATTTTGGCTAGACGAAAATCCAACTCTAACTCTCAAATCGGGAACCCGATTGGAGTCTCGTCTTCTCCCACAAGTCTCTCGTGCCTAGGCAGTCGTGTGTGCCAAGTTTCGTGCTAAACCGACGCCGTTTAGGGACTTTGGGGCGTCAACACTTCCAATTCAAATTTCTTAATGAACTAGTTTGCCTAGACCAAACTCCGGCTCTAACTCCCAAACCGAGAACCCGATTGGAGTCCTGTCTTCTCCCACAAGTCTCCCGTGCCTAGGCGGTCGTGTGTGCCAGGTTTTGTGCTAATCCGACGCCGTTTGGAGATTTTGGGGCGTCAACACCTCCAATTCAAATTTCTTAATGAACTAGTTTGCCTAGACCGAAATTCAGCTCTAACTCCAAAACCGGGAACCCGATTGGAGTTCCGTCTTCTCCCACAAGTCTCTCGTGCCTAGGCGGTCGTGTGTGCCAAGTTTTGTGCTAAATCGACGCCATTTGGTATTTTGGGGCGTCAATACTTCCAATTCAAATTTCTTAAGGAATTAGTTTGCCTAGACCGAAATTCGGCTCTAACTCCCAAACCGGGAACCCGATTGGAGTTTCGTCTTCTCCCACAAGTCTCTCGTGCCTAGGCGGTCGTGTGTGCCAAGTTTCGTACTAATCCGACCCTGTTTGGTAATTTTGGGGCGTCAACACCTCGAATTCAAGTTTGTCAAGGAACTAGTTTGCCTAAAGTGAAATCCGGCTCTAATTCCTAAATCGGGAACCCGATTGGAGTCCCGTCTTCTCCCACAAGTCTCTCGTGCCTAGGCGGTCATGTGTGCCAAGTTTCATACTAATCCGACCCTGTTTAGTAATTTTGGGGCGTCAACACCTCGAATTCAAGTTTGTTAAGGAACTAGTTTGCCTAAAGTGAAATCCGGCTCTAACTCCTAAACCGGGAACCCGATTGGAGTCCCGTCTTCTCCCACAAGTCTCTCGTGCCTAGGCAGTCGTGTGTGCCAAGTTTTGTGCCAAACCGACCCGGTTTGGTGATTTTGGGGCGTCAACACCTCGAATTCAAATTTCTTAAGGAGTTAGTTTGCCTAGACCGAAATCCGACTCTAACTCCCAAACCGGGAACCCGATTCGAGCCCCGTCTTCTCCCACAATTCTCTTGTGCCTAGGCGGCCGTGTGTGCAAAGCTTCGTGCTAATCCAACCCCGTTTGGTGATTTTGGGGCATCAACACCTCGAATTCAAGTTTGTTGAGGAACTAATTTGCCTAGAGTGAAATTCGGTTCTAACTCCTAAATTGGGAACCCGATTGGAGTCCCGTCTTCTCCTACAAGTTTCTCGTGCCTAGGCAGTCGTGTGTGGCAAGTTTCGTGCTAATTCGATGCTGTTTGGTGATTTTGGGCCGTTAACACCTCAAATTTAAGTTTTTTAAAGAATTAGTTTGCCTAGAGTGAAATCCGGCTCTAACTCTCAGACTAGGAATCCAATTCAAGTCCCGTTTTCTCCCACAAGTCTCTCGTGCCAAGGCGGTTGTGTGTGCCAAGTTTCATGCTAATCCGACGCTGTTTGGTTATTTTAGAGTGTCAACACCTCAAATTCTAAGTTTTTCAAAGAACTAGTTTGCCTAGAGTAAAATCCGACCTTAATTCCCAAACCGGGAATCCGATTCGAGTCCCGTCTGAAATATTTCCTAGTCTAAAAAATTAAAAGAAGTAATAAGACACATTTGAATGAGGGTCAACAACTTCTTAGAAGTGTCAATGCTTCTTAAAAATACGAAATTGTTGCAATCATGAACTTATCTCTAATCACAGAACAACAATACATATCATGGTACAAATCACTACTTGTGAGGCAAGAGTTATAAATGGTCCTTGAGAGAAGTAGGAAAACAGTACTCACATTATCAAACTGTGAAAGGTCTCTAGCTAGATCAACCCAAGCACTGAAAAATGATGTCAAAATTTTAGCTCATAAAACTTAAAACTAGGAAGCTACCCTAGATTTTCACAGCTCTAAGGATAGATAAAACCATCATCACCAACCAATCATAAGCTTACCTCTCATGTATCCCATAATATTGTGCTAAAACATGTCCATCAACATCTTGGTCCTTTGAATCAACTACAGATGAACTTTCTCCTAGGATCTGAAAAGAGCCGATATCATATCAGGACACTTATGAAAGACTGTTGTCGAATATAACAATGGAAATACAATCTATATTTATTAAAAGATTGAAAGTCTGTGTCTCTGTTATTTTAGAAATGTGAACTGATGATCTGGAAGGCCAATCTACAACTAACGGAGTAAAGACTGAAAAAAATTCAGAGCAATATAATAGAACTTTAAATGTTTGATGAATACAAAAAGCTAATCTTTATCTAGAACCAACCAAAACAGGAAAAAAAATAAAAATAAAAGGAAGATTTCTAGTTCATGTCAAGCAATAAGTTTCTAGGAGACGCCTGATTTATGATGATTTCAACATAACATTGTTCCATTAGGCCCCTTAATAATAGAACATAAATCAAGAAGTAACAAGACACATTTGAATGAGGGTCAACAACTATTATTAAGATCCTAGGGTCAACACATTTGAACATAAATCAAGAAGTAATAAGACACGTCTGAAAAAATTATATATAAAAAATAAAACAAAAAGAGAGTAGGCAGTTATGTACAACATTATGATCCTGTGATCTTACCACATCTCGGCTAGCCAAAGTTGCAATCATAGCAATGAACCCTGCAGAAGACAAGTTAGAAAAATGGAAGCACGAATTAGAAAAACTAGAGAATGTAAGTTAAGGCCTATGAAGATGTAAATTAAGGCCAAGGTTGTTTTTTGGTATAGCTTTTTTTTTTTAATATTCCCCAAATAAAGACTACCAAACACATGCCTGAAGAAGTCATGAATGATGAAACTGGACATATCGTTTGAGTTATATCATAATAGCCAAGGTACAGTTGATGAAAAGAAGCGGGCATGGATGCTTCATACAACAAGAAAGTATAATATGGTTGATAAGGATTTAAATTCAAAAATACCCATATTGTTAACTTCCTCAAAAAAAAAAAAAAATTAACAGCTAGCCATTCTCAAATTCAACGCATCTTCTTCATTCACCAAATCATCAAAAAAATTCAGATGTAAAATTGCACTAAAATTACAATCACATCGTTTGCACCCATTGCTAGTAAATATTATTTAGAAACTTTCTATCTCTCATCTATGTGAGAGACCAGAAATATTATTTTACTAGTAAATGTAATATTCTTCTTCAAACATCATAGAAAATTAGAGGATCCAAGTGTCTAAATTAAATATGGGTGTCGGACACATATCCCACACCCCTACCCTTGTCATATCCGGTGGACACACATATTATGGGGAAATAGAAAGAGTTCATGTAACACTGGGAGTGGAAGTAGAAGAAGAACATGGTCCACCAAATGAGCAAGACTCTGATGACTGAATTGAAGTTCTTCAGCAGAGGAAAGTTGTTAACAGAGCTGTTGTTCAATGCCTAGGGCATTTTTACTGGGAAAACATGGCTCAAGCACATGTCTGCATTTTATATTAAGCAGTTAAATTCCCTGTGGCTGAACACACAAAGACATCAGTTAAACCAAAATTTTAGTTAAGTGCACAATGTGATCACCTTGTGCATGTGCCAAAGGCACGTGCCTCAGCCGTCTTGCATACATTGCCTAGCATCAAGCTGTCCAATGCACTGCAGCTGCACCCAGCCTTAAACAACAATGGATTAACCTACTGCCCACTTATACATAAGGGGCCAACAAGCAATGCACCTTTCTCTCTCATAAAAAATTGACATAAAATTCTCATCCGTGCCAACCAAATCTGAACTTAGGTTCAAATAGACATCAGTACATGTTACTAGAGAAGTTCTTTGATAACAACATGGGATAATATGGTGCGGTAAAAGAGTTGACATAATTTATAGCACAGATGAAGACCTTTTACACATGCTATAACAATAAGAGAAAAGAAAAGAACATATCAGTTACAAAATAACATACTTCAAAAATAAACCTATCGATGCTATTCTTTGTTCAAATCTAATTACATATGGTCTCAAACTCAGAGTTGAATTAACTGCCAAGCCCAAAAAAAAAAAGTTTCATGGTTCAGAACACCGATTTTATCCAAAGCAGACTTGAACAAACACTTAATAAGAATACTCTGAAAATAAAGATAAAAATAATGCCCAATTAGTACACATTAATGTGTGTTTGGGAGGGAAAAGATTTAGTGCACACCTAACCTTTGGCATAATACACAAAGTGATGGCCCCATGACTTGAACCCATAATCTTAAGGTTATTAGGCCAAGTCTTAACCATTGAACCAATGGTCACCCCCAAATAAAGATGTCCTAATAAAATTCAGTTTCTAGTCTTTGAAGGATCTGGACTCAACAAAATAAAATTGTAACAATCAAAAGCAAGGAAAAACAATATCCATTGCGATTTTTTTCAAAAGAAAGGTGAAAGTTCAAACAAACCTGATTCATAACTTCCTTTATCATTTCTCTTGCCATCTCAATCTGCTTCTTATCACCAGCCACGCGCACTGTCCTTTCTTTAGATTGGTCCCCATCAGGAAGATGTTGTGGTATCAACTAAACAAAATTACATTGTCAGTATTTGTGAAATGGTATCACTTTTATGAAGGACAGTCATCACCTCTGTTGAGAATTCTTGTACTTATTTTCACATACATCTCAAAGCAGGGCCATATGATATCAAGTACCTGAATGCGTGCCCCTGATCTCGTCTGCAGATTTTTAATAGTCTCCCCACCTTTACCTATGATTACACCAACCTGGGACAAAAGAAAGTTCAAATATGGAATGGTCAGAAAGAAGGAAGCAATAGAGGGAGGCAATGAGGCAGAGAGGGTGAAAACCAACTAAGATGAAGACCAAAGTCACCTTCTCATTTGGAACTTGTATGAGAACTTGTTCCACAGTGCCAGCAGCCTGTACCATACCGAAACCCCTAGCCACAAGGGAGGGGGAACCCCCCCCCGCATCAGCCTACAAAAAATAAACGTAGCTTTATCAAAGAAGAAACAAACCGTAACACCAAAAGAACAAAGCAAATGCAGGTCAACCATAAACAAAATGTGGGGGCAATTAAGAAGAGAGTAGATGAAAGAAAAAGACATCAAGTCTAGAAGCATAAGACCTCAGCTATAACATCCTTTATCAGTTTCTCAGCCATGTTTATATTTTCCGAAGTTCCTATTAGCTCCACAGGCCGGGTGGCAGAATATGGATCAGCATCAGCATCCCTTGTGATCTGAATCTTGGCACCTGAATTGATTTGTAGAAACCGTATAGTATCACCAGCCTTGCCAATGAGAACTCCAACTGAAGCTGTTCACCTCCAGATGCAGGTTGATGTTCCCTTCCAGATGGCTGTTGCTGAGCACTTTCCAGCTGAGAATCATCAAAAGGCCGATCACTGAATATTCATAATAAACCCCTTTTTTTCTCTCGCCCTACTTTTCTGCCACACCGTCATCAGTGTGTGTGTGTGTGTGAGAGAGAGAGAGAGAGAGATCGTAATACGCCGTCGCCGCACCACCGCTAGCCATCGTCGAGAGCGATTGAGACTGCTAGCCGTCGTCGCTCGTCGAGAGAGAGATCGTCGGTGAACACTCGAAATCTCTGTGATTGGGAACTCGAAATTTCTGTGATCGTCGGTGAACACGAACTCGAACTCGAACTCGAACTCGAACTCGTCCTTGTCTCTGTGATTGGGAACTCGAAATCTCTGTGATTGTGAGAGAGAATTAGGGCTGAGCAAGTAATCCATGAAATTTATAATTTGATCCAATTTAGTTCAATTTGATAGGTTTAGATTGCTTTTTTGAATCTGCGATTCGATTCCGAATTGAGGAATTAAAAATCCGTAGTCTACGGATTGATTCTGGATTGAACCCCACGATTCCGGATTGAAACTAATCCGGACCGTATATAAATAGTCTATATTTTCATTATACATCCTCATAGTATCTTCTCTTAATTCTATATAAAATTTAAACTCAAATTTAAAACCATATAATATCTTCTTTTATTACTTTTGTTTGTTGGTTTTTAGTTTTAATTTGTAATGGTTTAAATACTTATAGTGAAACTAGTTTTCTTATGGTTGTTTAAATTTTAGAACAGTATGTCGCTATTATAGAAAAATATGTTGCTATTGTAGAACTAATATAGCGCTATGTTTATATTTTTATAAAATTAAAGTGTTATATATATTTTTGTTATTTAATTATGTGAATCCGTGGTCCTAAACCGATCAAATCCGTATTTAAATGGATTGGTTCGGATTGGTTCCATGATTTAAACGGATTGGATTGGTTCCAATTTTTTAAGAACCGTAGATAACGGATTGGTCCTGGTTTTATTCTAATCCGGTCCAATTTGGACCATGCTCACCTCTAAGGAGAATGGTGTTGGGGATTTTGGAGATGAAATTTTGGGGGGTTTTGATCGAGCGCCAATTGGGCTAAAGGAGAGGGAGATGAAATATTTCAGTACTTTTGCAATGGTATACATAAGCCGTCACAAATGATAAAATCTATTTATTAAAACGACGCCATTTCAATAAGGGTCTTTTTGCGACAGAGAATTGCCACCACAAATGTTCATTATTTGCGACGGTAAATTTCACCCGTCTCAAAAAAAATTATTTTTGCTACGGTACACAATGCTTCGCGAATACTTCCGTATTTAAGGCACTTTTTCTTGTGTGTTTATTAGCAATGGGGTGACTACTGTCGCAGAAAGTATTTATTTAAGACGGCTTAAAATGTCGTCGCAAAAGACCACTTTTTGCGACGGGATCCACACCGTCGCAAAAAATTCCATCTTTTATAGGCACTTTTCTTGTAGTGTAATTAATAACACTCTCAACGAAGCAAAGAGCATCACCAAATTTGTTTACCCTGCCAACCATGAGGTCATGTATGTGCATGGGAAAGTTTTATGGTACACACCTATGCCCCTGCTTATTACTTTTGTGGTAATTATGATTTATTAGGGATGTTTGTTTTGATTTAATATATATTATGTTGTTAGGTAGGATTCATTGTGATGTTAATTATAATATTATTTTAGTTATGATTTAAAAGTTTTTTAGTTATATCTTATGTAGTGTTTGATATCATTATTTTTTTTCTAATCATGACTCCTATAGAATTAAGTTATGACAAATGTTATAACTTGTATATGATATGCATATTTTTTAGGGCGTGTACCATAGCATTACTCATATGCATGGTGTATATTTTCATATACATCTATAATTAATATATCTATATATTATATAAGGAAAAATGATATTTTTAGTGAGGAGTCTTGTGAGAGTTTCAATATCTCATACTAATTTTCTTGATTTTTTTAATTTTAAATAATTAAGAAAATCTCTATTGGCTGGCTTTTATTTGATAATCCCAAGAAAAAAATGAGTTGTTTTATCCATTTAGGTGCTGTTTGGTGTAGCTGTTAAAACAGATTATAGATTATAGCTTAACAGATTATAAATTATGACTTTAATCAGAAACTGTTAATCTGTTTGGTATAACTGTTGGATTATAGATTTAAGTTGCTGAGTAGGTGTTTGTTAAATAAGCTGTGTGTAGCTTTTTCAATTAATTTTTATTTTTTATTATTCACTATTTGTCTACATTTTTCATAAAAAATAATAATAATATTTTATAGTACATTTGGGTCTTTTTCTATTTTTAAAAAAAAAATAAAAAATAAAAAAAATCTAAGAGTATAACCGTGAATTAACATGTCCACAGCAGAAGCTGATAATCAGAAGCAAGGGGTGAGCAGCTTTTCAGAATCAGCTTTTTTGACTTAAAATAAGTTATTAGAATCAGAAGCTGTTTGAAATAAATTTAACCAAACAGTCCAAAATAACTTTTTAAAAGTCAGAAGCCATAAGCAGACTCAAAAAAGCCCCACCAAACACCCCATTAGTGAGGAGCTTTGTGAAAGTTTTAATTTTTCATACTAATTTTCTTAATTTTAAACAATTAAGAAAATCTCCATTGATTAGCTTTTATTTTATAATCCCATATCGGGAAAATAAGGGGAAAAAATGAGCTATTTTACCCATATAAAGTGAATTATACTCTCATTCCATTTAATATTATAGTGTTGTGCATGTTTTAATTCAATATAATTTCAATTTTAAAAGTTTTAATTAATTAATTATGACCTAGCCGATTAGGCTAAATCATTTTTTATTTGATTAATTTGTTGGTTTAAGCGTAATTTTAGCGGTTTTATACAAAAATATTGATTAGATTTGTTTGATTCAAAATAAATTAAAGATTGATCTGATTAAATATTGAAAGACTGAGATTATTTGATGAAAAATAAACTTTCCGTCCAAATAATTGTTAAATTTTATTTTATAATCCCACATCAGGAAAAATAAATAAATAAATAAAAGAAAAAAAAAAGTAATTTGTTTTACTTATATAAAGTGAATCTTAATAATGTAGTATTGTGTATACTTCAATTCAAGACAGTTTAAATTTTAAAATTAAAATAAGATTTAAAAGTTTTAATTAATTAATTTTGGTATAAGTTGGTTGGTCATTTGACCTAACCGATTAGGCTGAACCATTTTAGGTTTGACCGATTCGCCGGTTTAATCTTGATTTCTCGTATTGATTTTGTTAATTTTAAACAATTAAAAAAATTTCCATTGATTAACTTCCATTTAACCATATAAAAATAAAATTCTAATTAGTTTATGATTTATTTTATAATCTCACATCAGGAGAAGAAGAAAAAACAAAGTTTGTTTCACTATCTATCTATATATTATATAAGGAAAGTGAGATTTTTAGGGATAAGTCTTCTAGGAACTACAACCCTTATTTTAAAATTATTGAATTTTCTTAATTTTAAACATTTAAGAAAATTCTCGTTGGCTAGTTTTCATTTACCTTTTATTTTTCAATGTCACATCGGAAAAAGAAAGAAAAAGTAAATTGTTTCACTTGCATAAAGTGAATCTTATACTCCCATTTATATAAGCAAAAGGATATTTTTACTGAGAAGGACTATGATTAATATCTCATACTCATTTTTTTTATTTTCTTAATTTTAAACAATTAAAAAAATCCCTATTGACTAACTTCTATTTAACTTTTATTTTACAATCTCACATAGTTTTGATTTTAAAATTAATTTTGTATGAGATTTTAAAACTCTCATAATATTTAACTTTAAAATCATTACAATCCCACGTCAAGAAAAGAAAGAAAAAGTGAATTGTTTCATTTATATAAAATGAATCATATAAAGGAAGTTTTAAGGGAAAAACCTTCTAGAAGCTCCAAACCATCATTCTAAAATTATTGAATTTTCTTAATTTTAAACAATTAAGAAAATTCTCATTGGTTAGTTTCCATTTGCCTTTTATTTCACAATCCCAAATCGAGAAGGAACAAACAAAAAAAAAAGGAAAAAGTGAATTGTTTCATCTACATAAAGTGAATATTATACTCCAATTTATATAAATTATTGAAATTTCTTAATTTTAAACAATTAAGAAAATCACCGTTGATTAGCTCCTATTTAACTTTTATTTTACAATTCCACATCGAGAAAAGAAGGAAAAAGTGAATTGTTTCACTTATATAAAGTGAATCTTATACTTCCATTTATATAAGTAAAAAAAGATTTTTAGTGAGAAGCCCTATAATCAAAACCATTTTTTTTTATTTTCTTAATTTTAAACAATTAAGAAAATTTCCATTAATTAGTTTCCATTTAACTTTTATTCTACAATCTTACATAGACATTTTGATTTTAAAAATAATTCTGTATGAGATTTTGAAACTCTCACAATATTTAATTTTAAAATAATTACAATCTCACATCGAGAAAAGAAATAAAAAGTTAGTTGTTTCACTTATATAAAAAGTCCATTTATTTTGAGAGATAGAGGAAGGAATGAGATTGAGATGGATATGGGACCTACTAATATTGTATTTGTTTTAAGAGATGGAGAGAGAATTCATAAGCCCTTTGGATTAAGATGGGCCTTGAATGTTGGGATTGATGAGATGGAGGCCAAAGACTTGGTATTAGAAAATTAGTCCTCCGACTTAGCTTCTTTTTTTTTCTTTTTTTCTTTTTTACATGTTGGGCATTTTTTTAACATTAATATTTAATGTTTTTGTATTTTTTGTTAAGTAAAAATCATAATTTTATTTGTTTTATTATTTTATATTTCTTTTATATAAAAATAATTTAACAATCCCCATAACAACTATTATCAAAACAAACACAATTTTACTTAATCCTTTCACTATCAATGCCCTAACTATAAATCCCTTCATTC